GTTATGGTTTTTACCCTATGCATTTTCTCATTCAATCTCATTTAGCTTGAAGGATCAGCGTTTAAAAGTGCAATCAACTCGGGTGTTATGGTTTTTACCCTATACATTTTCTCATTCAATCTCATTTAACTTGAAGGATCAGCGTTTAAAAGTGCAATCAACTCGGGTGTTATGGTTTTTACCCTATGCATTTTCTCATTCAATCTCATTTAGCTTGAAGGATCAGCGTTTCAAAGTGCAATCAACTCGGGTGTTATGGTTTTTACCCTATGCATTTTCTCATTCAATCTCATTTAGCTTGAAGGATCCGCGTTTAAAAGTGCAGTTAACTCAGGTGTGAAGGTTTTTATCCCGTGCATTTTCTCTACACTGTTCTATTCACATTTCCAAAAGTGCTGACGAGGAGAATTTGTTTATCAGTCAAGAGATTCTTTAGTCGGTGATCATTTCCTTTATTCTCCTAACCTTAATGTGATTAAAGTGTGATACTGTTGGGAGAAATTAGATGCTGATCACTCACAGGGTTCAAAGGCTTAATTAGCTGGACAGTGAAACTATCGAAGTCCAAGACGTCCCTTGATTGCTATGGACATTATATCTCGATGCTCCTTGGAATACTTTTGTCGTGCATGGAAAAATGCTAAAAGAAAAAAAAAAAAGTCATTGGTAAGAGAAAAAAAAAAAAGACCTTACCGTTTGTGGTCAAAGCACTCTTTGATTTCTTTTTCTTATACCGCCTCTGTCTGTACAACAGCAGTACCACGACTAAGAGGATTGTCCAGGCCACCGCACCCATAGTACCAATGAACCAAGGCTGACGTATAAACATTTTTATCTTATACCACGTGTTATCTGAGTCGGTACGCGCTTCCACAACACTGACCTCTCCGTTAGAGTCACCGAGGTCTGTTGTGGGTCTTACTCCACCACCAGGTACAATGCCACCATCTATGGAGGCAAAAATGAGGAAACAGCGTGACTTTCATACAAGGGTCGTAAAACCAAAACCGAAATAATCCCAACAACCAATTAAACAAAGGAATACATCACACAGAACCAGTGAAAAATTAAAGTAAAATCTATCAAACTGCTCCAAGCGCGGGAAAACGCCAATGAACAACTCGCGATTGGTGTTAGTATTGAATCCGATTGGTCGAGAAAGAGGCACGAGTTTTCTGGACCAATCACAGAGCGAACCAACGCAATCTGGCAACTATCTTGGACCACAAAACATTTCTAGCAAAGGCTAGATTTTCCACTAAGCTCTAAAGAACAAACTCTACAAAAATATAAAAGCTTATTCCCTGGAACATGCACTGTTCTTCTCTTTATAGCAATGAATTTTAAAATATCGAAAAGAGGGCTGTGGAGGACACTTTTATACTCACCTTTCGGCTTCACAAGTGTCTTAGTGAAAGCAGGGTCACTTTTTGGCCCTTTTCGTTGTCCAATCATAAGCTGCACTTGGATTTCATAGCTAGTATTGGCCTGAAGACCATTCAGTGTGTATGATGATCCAAATGAAGTGTCAGGTGTAATGTAAACAACATCGGAGTCTTTTTCCCTCCAATGAATAACCACGCTTGTTCCGTCCATTGGTTCTGAAAGCTGCACACACACAAATGTAAATGTACAGAAGTTTCTAAATGTGGCACTACACTGTAAATTAGAGTTTCGTGTAGTGTAGTACAGCGGTAAGTAAAGACCTGACCGGGTTGTTCAAAGCTGGGCGAGATAAGCCAGCGTTAGTGTGAAATCTGATTTCGGATCTATAAGCTGTAAAAGAAAATTCACTAGAATTCTTTTTGGCAACAATTTGATGATTGGATGCTATAAAAGGAGTAGAGAAAACATTCCCAAAAAAATGCTTCAGAATATAGGAAGAAAGAAACCCGGATTAAAGTTTGACCCTAGATTAGCGCTAAACGGCTTTCAAAAAACTGGGCTGTGGAAATTCGAGATTATTTTGAAAACGAGAGAGATTTGGGTCAGGTCGCCCCAGCCTTCTTCATTTTTTCACTCCTCCGCCACTACCGCGTCGTTTACTATTTCGCTTTCATTTTATTAACTGAATGCCTGTAACGAGAGAGCTCTGGTTCTGGTCGCCCCAGCCTCCCTCCCTTTTTCATTCCTTCGCCACTACCGCGCCGTTCACCCTTAGTTTCACCAACTGTACCCCTGGAACAGGCCACTTCATCAAACAATCACGAAAATGAGTTGGTTTAACAATTTGATTTAGTTCTAAGGCTTTTGAGAAAGTGTTACTGCCTTCCTGTTTCATTCTGTTTATAAACCACACCCAAACTAGATTTCTTTTAGGATTGTTCGTCTACATATTATAATTATATATACAAATATTCATTTTCTAAAGAATTCTCTTCTTTTTCTTTTTTTCCTCTCTTGTGCCCGCCTCGAATAGCCCTAGCTACTTGCGGGCCCAAGCATCGTAATTTTCTTATTAAGCTTAAATAAATAAATTGTAAAGTGTAAAAATTGTAATCGTAATTGTAGTTTTATATAATTATATAAATATATTTTAATTGCTTTCACTATCTCGATGACAAAAACACAGTTCCAAACAACTCCTTTTAAACGAGAAAAATAAAAAGCATATTTCCCCTTTGAAAACAGTGCAACTTAGCTTTTGAACAGCTTAGCTCACGTGACATAAACTCCTCATTTACTTACACTCCAGGATATGTTAATCTTGTTATATGCGACAGGTTTCACATCAATGTCAATTCTTACATTTTGCGACTGTTTCACAGTTGGGGACAGCTCTGGAAACAAAAGTAACCAATACAATACAATACAATACAATACAATGTTCTTTATTTCAAGAGGGTAAATACATGATTAACCCAGTAAAGAGTTTTCTAACACATGGCCCTCTGTAAACCCACCCATCCCACCCAGGGGAGGACATCCATCACACAGTAATCTCGTGTGTGAGAAATTAACGTCTCCTACCCCAACCCTGCAGGAGACGGGACCTTCATTTATTCGTCTCTATCCGTGAAGACTAGAATATCTAACCATTTCTTGATGTTATAGAAAGGTAGCAAATTCTTCTCAATTATTTTAAGACCTTGAGTGTTGGTCCGGCCGGGGCTCGAACCTTCAACCTCCCGCACAACAGTCCAGCGCTCTATCCATTGAGCTAACTGAGAGGTGGTTACTTAAGCAAAACCATTAATTGTTATTGTATTGTCCTGGCACAGATTCTGCAATAACACTCTCCTCCATTAACCCTTTTCACTCCCAAGATCTCAGTGGTAATTCTCCTTACTGTCTGTAATACAGTTCTTATAATGTAAGTTTGGAGAATTTAACATTTGATAGACTAACCATTCCCTAATTGATATTTTTCTCATCACTTGAGTGCTTGATATTGTATGGATAATGTAAGTAGAAATTCTACGTTGGTCATTCATGGGAGTTAAAAGGTTAATAATTTTTAAACAAAGCACACTGTTAACTTTGATGCATCCACTAAACAAAGAATAATAATAAAAAAATTTAATTTCTATCAACTGACTAGGTTAAGGAGCACTGGCAAACATTCAAGTTGCTTCATGTTACGAGAACCAGAATCATGGAAAATAGCCAATAAATTTACTACACGTTCATGTAATATCTAACTTACTCATAGGTACCACTGGTACTTTCTTGGTCCTCTTGGACAATGGTTTTAAGGATTGCGTCAGTGTACTTCCATCAGGGCCCACTGCTCGAACTTTGAACAAGTAAAATGTTTCAGAGTCCAGGTTTTGTACCGTGAGCTTGTTTTCCTTCAGGGAGCTCTCAGCTTTATTCCATACTCTGTTGCCATTCCTTTTGCAGAATTCCACTATGTACACAATGTTTGAGATGCCCTGAGAGGTAACAGAGCTCCATGCTAGATCCACCGAGTTGTGCGTCACAGAAGTCACAACTACATCCAAAGGAGGAAGTGTGGGTTTTGGGGTTGGCGTCGTTGTGGGGGGAAGAGTGGTAGTAATGATCACTTCTGAAAAGAAGAAAAAAAACAAAAGTAACAATAAAGATTGTAGACTGAAGAACTATATTAAGATGAGATCTTTTGGTTACAAAACAACTTACTGTTCACTTGTAGCTCTGCTTCCTCTGAGGCAGTTCCAATGTTGCTATTGGCCACACATTTGTAAACTCCTTTGTCACTCACACTCACATTAGAAATGCTCAGACGGGAAGTCAACCCAGTCTGTGTTATTAAAATCCTAGCTGTATTCTGCAGCGAAAAATCGTCATCATTCAGATACCAGCTGATAGATGGCTTAGGGCTGCCCTCTACTTCACAGGAGAACTCTATGCTTGTTCCCTCATTCACAGATTTATTAAGTGGACCTGTCACAACTGATGGCACAACATCTGTGGGTCCTAAATGCAAAACTCCAGAAATCAGGACATGGACAGATTTCCCTCTAAACTTATAATAAGTTGAATCAGGTCAAGTCTAATCGCACAGATTCTCTCAATGAATTACTTAAAAAAAAACTTACAATGATTGCCTTCAACAAATTCAAACCTGACTGTATAATGCACAAGAACCTTCACTAACAAAAGTAATGATCCTCTAAGAATTTTGAAAGATTTGAAAATCGTTTTTGGTTAAGAACAAGAGAAACGTGTTCATCAACAATGATAATTATCAATTCAAAAGAACCAAACATCAGTTGCCAAAACTCTGTCTTGAAAATAAATGACATATGGAAAATAAATTTCAGGATCTGTTGGATGTTATAATACTTCACGTCTTAAATTTCCAGTGTTACAAAAAATTGTATTGCATGACTAGCATGACCTTCTAGAAGCTTCGCGAGAGACATAGTTCATTTATTTTAGTATTTTGCATAAGCATTCCTTAAGCAGTATATTTTGTAATCTTTCTATAATTAGACTACGGTCCAACCTCTATTAAGCGGCCAACCCCCGGACTTTGAAAAGTGGACGCTTAATAAAAATACAATTTTAATTGGATAGGAATGGCAGAAAACACAATTTTATTGACTCTATATAGCAAAATTCTTTTAAAAAGTGAACATATAGGAAGATAAATTCAAAATTCATTGTAGCAAAACATCAAGTGCATTTCCAGCCCATGCATAGTTCTAGCTCTAAAACAGAGGGCACGTAAGACTTATAAGCCCTATGGCTTACAAAATTGCTCAAGAGGCCAACAAAAAAAGGAAGAGCTGTTGTTAAAGGCAAACACATAAACAGAGGGGACGGCTATGGTTTAGAAATTCCACGCGAGTACTGCTTCACAGTGGACGAGTTTTCAATTCCATGGTTAAAATCAAAACTTGAGGAGCATGGATTTTTGTAGATTTCCAGTACAGTAGTAATAAAGTTTTCCTGTACAGATTTTGGTTGTAACAAAACAGTGGTTCAGCTCTATCTATTGTTAGCTATTGTCATGTTTGTATAGCGCCGGATGTGAAAAGTTTGTACGTGAATGTGGCTTGTGACTTGTTATGGTGGAGAGTAAATTGCAGTTCTTGTTTTCGTTGTTATTAGTTATCACCTTATAATTATCATCTGTCACCATTTTGCTTGGAAAGATAATTTGCTGGCCACTTAATGGAGGTAAAAAAACCATGTAAATAGTACACTTGTGACAGCAAAAAAATGGCTGTGGCTGCTTCATAGAGGTGGCCGTTGAAAAGAGGTATCAAATACAGCAGTTGACTGAGAAATAAATCAGGACTTTAGAAAGTGGCCACACAATGGAGGGTGGCTGCTTAATAGGTGACCGCTTAATAGAGGTCAGACTATATTTAGAAAGTTCTGGAATCTTATTGTGTAAGTATATAAGTAGGCGAGTCCAATGAAGTTTTTAACCTAGTTTTTACAAGTGATTTGATGTTGGTCATGTTAAGTCAAGTATGACAGAAGCAGTATTTATTGAAGTTGGCGGAGGCCGCGTAAGTTTACTTCGTGGAAACTACGTTCATTTTTGGAATAAATCTTCTTGTTGCTGTTCCTTCAACCCTGAGTTCAGTCTGGTCTGCAAACTACCCATCCTCTAAAAGATTACCCATGTAACAGTTAGTTTAGATTCTGGTTAAGTTTGGGTTAGGGTCAGGGTTACATGTAGTTCGTATAAAAATAAACATATAGATCAGGGCACTCTCTTACCTATGACAGTCAGTGTTGCATCAGCATGAGTATTACCATCAGGAGCCAATGCCCAACAAGCGTACACCCCTTCATCTTGCTTTTCCACTCTGGAAATGTCCAAGGAGAGACCATAACTTGAAACAGAGAATCTACCACCATAATAATTCCCATTTGGAAACATTGGGGATGAGGATTTCCCTTCCTTCTCCCAGAATACAGTTGGCTGAGGATCTCCAGTGGCAATACACACAAACTTGGCTGGGCTTCCCTCCTTGACAATAACATCTACCGGAGCTTGAACAATTTTTGGTTTAGCTGAAAGAAATTTAATATGAAATGTAAACATTTGGTAACATTCCTAATCCTTCAGCTTCTCATGAAAAAATGCACAGAGTAATGTTGCATCATTCTGCATTAAACTGCCAACTGAATAAATCAAACTTTTTTGTGAGCTTCTCCAGTTCTTTCAATCAGCACTCTTCCCAAAATGAAATTGTTTGTGAAACTGAGATGGCAAGAAAACTCAGAGTCATGTAAACAATAAGTAATTCCCCTTTCCAGGGGTAATCTGTACCAAAAATAAATGCAGAAATCAGATGAAAAATATCCCAGTGCCAATTAGTGTTAAGAAAACTCTGTGACTATTTTCAAAGCCTTTTTATCTTAATGCTGTTTTGAATCTTCTATAAGAGACCAATTCAGTCCATAAAAATTTGATAAGTTATTAAAGTAACTGTATCTGCATTGTAAAACATCTTCAATGAGGAAAGAACAGACAAGACACAAGCAACAACCCATCTATTAGCAAATACTTACTTTTAACCTTGAGAGTGACCTGGAGTGTAAGGTCCTGAGCACCTGTTTTTACACGGCAGACATAAGTTCCTTTGTCTAGCACTGTCACATTTTCTATTGTCAACAATCCTTTTTCCACAATATGTCTTGCACTAAGCAGAGATCCATCTTTTTTCTCCCAGATCACTTCATCCTGAGGCCCATCTCTGTAATAGCATCGAAAAGTTGCATTCATTCCAGCCACCACATTTTGTGAGGTTGGTTTGACAGTGAGGGGTTTGCCTGGTTTCTCTATGCGGGAAAAAAAATCAATAAAAAGCAATTATACTCTAGCTCTAAAAAGTTATATGATTACTGTTATTTGGGAGGTCTGTCTGTACCAATCAACCAAAAACTGGAACTAAATCATCCTATGGAAAACAATTTCATGCAAATTGATAACAACCCATCCTTGGAGACCCAGGGGCTGTAGGTCGATTTCAAGTTAGGGCATGAAGAGCCCCTGGGGACATTGTCTTACAAGACTAGTTCCAAACAGCCACAGTCATTCTGCCATCTGACTGGTGCCAGAAAATCTTTGTTTTTCTGCCCAATCAGAGTGAAGTGTGCTTTGGAGTCCTTTTGTGTGTTGTAAAGCGACATATCGATGACTGCAACCCTCATGTTGTATACAAACCTCGCAAACTTTAAAACATGTTCTCTAGTGACACCTGCAAAAGTATTCAGTATAATTTCCGGTAAGATTTTTGCGGACAATCTGATCGATTTCTCTTACATTGTGTGCTGAGACTGAAACTTTTCACCTCAAGCAAATCTCCGTCGCACTGCCCAAACAAACATAGTGAGCAACTGTCTTGAGCAATTAGTATTTGTCCATGTTACAACACGAAAGGACTCCAAAGCACACTTCACTCTGATTGGGCAGAAAAACAAAGATTTTCTGGCATCAATCAGATGGCAGAATGACTGCAACCATTTGGAACTAGTCTTGAAAGACAATGTCCCCAGGGGCTCTTCATGCCCTAACTTGAAATTGACCCACAGCCTTTGGGTCTCCAAGGATGATAACAACGTTAATCAACATTGTTACATACCAATAGTTAGCCATGCTTTGCTGCTGTTCTGTGTCCCAAGAGGGCTGTTTGATTTACACAAATAGGTTCCTTGATCAGCCTCCGTAACTGAAGAAATTGTCAAGTTTCCTTTGGGTGAAATGAATGTCCTACTTGTGTTTGTCACAGGGAGGCCGTCATGTAACCACACAACAGTAGGAACTGGGAAACCCTTTGGAGGAGTACATTTCATAACCACTGACTCACCAGGGTAAGCAGTTTGGTTGCGAGGTTGTGATCGGAACACAGTCTTCAGTGCTAGAAGATGAAATTGTTCATACTAATTGATTACTATTAGTAATCATATTATCATCCACAAAACTGCTAGATATAGGTGATTAAGTTGTGTTAATGTCATGGTTATGCTAGTCCAGGAAAGGACAGTTATTGGTTATAGAAGCAGCTACACTAAATTAAATAATCACTTACTTCCAATCAACAAAGTTGCCTTTTGGCTACGTGCTGTACCATAGCGATTAATGGCTGCACACTGATAAATACCATTATCAGTTCTTTTACGCCTGTTTGACACAGTGCGCATAAAGTAGAGGCTTCCGTTAGGTAAAGTGGTTCTTCTCCCAATCTTTTCATTTGATAAAGGAATTCCATTTTTAAACCAAGAAATTGTTGGACTTGGAGATCCTGAGGCGCTGCATTTCAGTTCAGTTGGTGAGCCCTTGAGAACAACAGCATAAGAAGGATGTACTGTGATTACAGGTTTGCTTCCTAAAGTGTAAGAACCCAAAAACAAATGATAGTCAAATGTTGGCTAATCATACACTTGGCTAGTATTAACCATTTGACTAATAGGAGTGATTAGCAGCTTATTTCTCCCTACAATAACACCCTGAAATCAAATATTGAGGTCATAAGAAAAAGGGAAATGATCACCAACTAAAGAAGCTCTTGATTGTTAAACAATTTCTTCTCATTACAACTTCACGACAGTTTAAGTGTGTGCCCACATTTTGTGGGTCGATTAAGTATTCATATATGCACCCTATTGTTTTTCTTATTGAATATTCATTAGTCATGACACGAACAATTTCCAAAAATGTAGCTAGCTTGCACGATCACAAGCGCTTTGATGTTAGGTGTGATATATTTCTTTTGTTTCCAGTTTCATGCTTGATTGATGTTTTGACACACTATTGTTTTGTTAAAATTAACTTTATAATTAAAAGTGGAAAGCTGGAACTTTTATCATGCTAAAAGTGTAAGATGATGATGCCTGATAACCATTGCGTCAAATGCGTAGCAAAAAAATATCGAAGGTTTTGGGTTCGCGATTGAGTCCTCCATGTCTGGTTTGAAAACTGCAAAAATATTTAAACGTCTTTCCTCTGTAAACTAATAAAATGTTTCACTACTGAAGAACAATGCTAAGATCTTAACCATTTGACTTTTGCTGCAGCATGTTTTAAAAGTTTTACCAACCGTTCATCAAAGAAGAGGAGGCAACTTGTTAACATTGAATAAAAGGTTAGTTCCCACTAAAAAAAAATCCCTTTCTCTTTTTTACATTGGAAAGCTTACTGAAGTTTCCAATGTTGCTAAAGAAACCTCATACACAAAAAGTAAACTGATTGGCGTTTGCGAATCAGAACATAGGAAAAGCCCTTCTGTTGACATTTATGGTCACGAGTGAAAATATGCTAAGCAGCTGCATGCAACATGCTAATCTACAAACTCGCTGACATTTTTAATTCAGCTTTGCTTCTTTGCTTTCGAAAGTTTACTGCATTTTTTTCGAGCCTGTTCTCCTGTAATGTCCTCATCTCAAAAGGAGAGGAAAATATAGAACTAATTTGCTCAGACTTGGACACACCAGTGTCACGCAATGAAATGTGCCAATGAAAATCAAGACTTGGATTGGTCAGTTTCACATGGTTGGCGTGGCAACTGGAATGGACTGTTTGAGTGTTTCTGACTAACAGCTGAAACATTTCAGCGTTATTGAAGCCGATACGACACTGCCCTTTAAGGCTTGTGAAAGAAATTAAACACTGAGCTAACATCAGCTACGTACTAATGAATTGAATAAAGCGTAGGAACTTGACCAGCCGCCTCTTGTAAATAAAATTCCATCCAAAATCCACTACTTGCCAATACTGTAACGTCACAGCCTTTAATTTAAATTTCACTTTCAGGTTTTTAAAGGCAAATCAAATAGCGACAAAGAGTTATAATTTTCATCAGAAATCTGTTTCTCCGCTTTACCTCAACCAAAAGTTTTGTTTAAGGGCTCGTTTTAAAGATTTTGAAGCACTTCTCAACACTAAACCGAAAGTGAAATTGTTACTTTAATAGTGCGAAGCGTTCAGTTGCAGAAAAACATAAGGTGATATCTTTGGTAAATGCGAATTAAATATAAACAAAAGGATACTAATTTGATGCCACGCAATTAGCCTGCATTGTTAAAGCCTTTTGAAAAAGAATAATAGCTTCTCCGCCCAAAAGTCACAAGTTCTTCCATCAAAAGCCTCCTTACACTCATCCGATAAAGGCCAAATGCGAGCGAACGGCTCTCGGAAATGCAGCTTTGAGCCCTCGTGGTAAAAATGCCAGCGGCTACCCCCATTTCAGAAAGACACACTTAAACGGTTGTGAAGTTGTAATGTTATCAGCACCTTAGGTGAAAACCAGTATGGGAAATATGCATACAAAGGCAAAAAGTGCTAACCAAGCATGATATCATCAAAATTACCGTACGTTCCTTTGAGCAAAGATGTGGCACCCTTAAAAGCTAGAGTGACTGCCGTAATGACAGAAAATTTATGTTGTGTTAGGTGAAAGAAAATTTGTGAGAAAAATGAACACGAAAGAGGCTTCTTTATTGGAAAAAATGTCTGCTACCCAGAACACTGCGGGGAACAGATATTGTTCTTTGATTTAAAGTCGCACATGTACCATTGGGTCTGGGAGATGCAAAAACATTTTCAAATGACTTGTATTTTCCATCCTTTGGTTAACATACCTGTATATATTCTATTAAAATGATTAGATGAAGATCAAAATGACTTTTAATTAACATGATTTGTACTTCCCAATGTTAAAGAACATGCATATTTATAAATGAGCTTGGTCTTTCGGTGAGAATTTCATTTCAGCCAAAAATTGCTCTGAGCTCTGATATCCCAAGTTGTGTCCATAGACAGTTTCCTGACTGCAATAAAATTATAATTATTAAGTACAATAATGAGGCTACCTTGACCCTTTGCAGTCTGAATCCATACATAAAATAATATGAACACTGTGACAGATGATTGTCTCATTCCTTGATATCTCATTTCCAAGCTTGAAATTAAAATGTCTGTCAATCAATGCTGATTCAATGAAACACACATGACCTTCACAAAAAATCTGAAACATAAAAGAACAGGTCATATTACTTACATGAAGTCTCTGATAAAAATATCAAACAAGATATGTTATTCAAATAATGTGCCTTGTACATGCACATGAGATTTCAAGTACTTTGATTCATCTGTTTGGTTAAACTTGCAACTTAAGTCAGATTAGAGTTAAGGAGAATGTTCTCTCACACGTCTCTTAAACAAGATGTGCTCTCTTCCTTCCAGACTTTGAAACTCCCATATAATGACCACGTTCAGTTCCCTGCTTGTTTTAGTGACAATGGCATATTTATAATACTTTTCAAGAAATATTGGATCATAAATTGCAACATTATTTAGATAAAGTAAACAATCAAAGCACAAAATATCACAGATGATTGCTGAGTCAGATGACAGGGAAACAAAATTTCAGTTTTAAGATATCTGCCAATAACAAATTACTAAACAGGAAAAGCACATTTCAATTTCTTTTAAGATTACTAAATAATGCAAAAGAATTTAGCTAAATAAGGTGTATAGTCCCCTCAGCTCAAGGTTTTTTAAAACTGAAAATCAGAAAAAGGACCACCTGAAAAATAATTTCAGTCAATAGTGCAGCACTTTCAATAAGATTTGAAATAGGTGGCTACCTCGGTACAGCACCTGCCAGAGAGCGACTTGAGTGCGACTTGAACGTGGTGACCGCGACTTGAGCACGGTGAAAGATAACTGGTGACTCACAACAGAATACCCGCCGGAGCTCTGGCTGGTGACGGGTCTTATTGAAAGCACTGGTAGTGGCTGGCAATCATTGCTTAAGGTTAACGAGATATCTACAGACTTAACACATCTACATCAACCTTTTTGAAGCAACAGCAGAGAAATAATTCATGACCTTTTGTGGGTATCTCATAAAAATGAAAAAAAAAATGAAAATGTTACAGTTTGCTAAAAGTACTTGACTGCCCAACACAGGTCACAGATTTAGCAGCTTTCACTGAAAATTTGGTTGCCAAAACTTTTCTCTTTTTCCAAAAGTAACCAAAATGGTTGCAGCAAGAGTGCTGATCTTATTTTTCAAGCTAATAAAAAAACAACAACAATAACTTGCTTAACAGTAAAAAGGAAAATACCCTGTGTTCCCTTGTACTTAAGAGAAATTTTGACAAGTGAGTGGAGAGTGACGATGACAATAACAACAATGTAAAAACAAAGACCTTCTTAAAATAACAGGGGAGAATTTTTCATTGCCACCATCCCCTTACAGAATTGTATAACCATGTGTTACAGCTGACAGAGGACAATTAACATGTGCCTTGAGACACTACAGACATAATAGACTGTACAACCTGATACCTAAACACTCACTGTTTACTACTTGTCAGCAACAGCCCAGGCTAACTTCACAACACTGTTTCAAGTTTGTTACTTTAACACATCCTGCTGTTTAAAGAAGTCACTACAGATCATATTATTTCTTTACAAAGATCTCCCAGTAACATGCAGCCATACGTCATTCCCAACACAGTACACAGTTTCCCATTTTATGTCACACAAAGAAATCATGATGATGCTACAGTCTGCATGTCCCTTGTTGTCCACCTTAGCTTCTCTTTATGCAAAAACTCTGTATATACACATGTAAGGGCAATGGAAGTGAATGTAACACAGTAACCTAAGGTGTGTGTGGCCATCATTACCTGAAGTGTTCAAGACCAATGGTGCAGTCACTAACAAAACATGTGCTTATCATGAGGATTTGATGTGAATTTAGCGTGATTTTTTTTTTCTTGTTCAAGAATGCTAAATGAACCTCTTACTCAGATGTTGAGTGATTGTTAGTAGCAGGGATTCCTACTAAGGCAATTATATTCACAGATACTGTTATTTATTTAGTCCGTAACGTGTTTGAAACAACAAAGAAAATAAAAGAGGCTTTGAGAAGTTTGGTTTATTAAGACAACGTGTAGATTTTTTCTTTGTCCTTTTTCAAACGTGCGTGAGTTCTTGCGGATATTATGAGGTTTTCCAGGTGAGAAAGGTGAACATATACAATAGGCTGAGCAATAGGATTGAAAGATTTATAAAAGAAAAGACAAAGTGTAAACAGTATCCGAATGCATAATTCTGGCTATAATGTCCAAAAATACTGGACATCATTGTTTTGTGTTTTTTTTTTTTAACAAAAGAACAACTACCTTGAAGCGTGAGCTTTAAAGCAAGCTGAGAAAAAACTGAGTATTTGTCAATCATCAAACAAAAAAATGGTAGCATCGAGTTCCAATTAGAAAGGATATTACAATAAAACACGATGAGGAATCACGATTTTAAAACTTTAATTAAAATCAGCTTCTTCTATTTGAAGCATAATGGCAACCCACGAAGTTAGTTGACCTGTAAGAAAAATATCGCTTTGTCTCCATCTCAGAGAATTGATGTCTCGCGTCAATATACACCTTGTTTCGATCGATCCAAAAAATTCCCCAGTGTCGTGTAACACACAAACCGAAATCACAACATAACCTATGATTTCTTCGGCGTTTTATTATTTATCGTAAAAGCAACCTTGCTAATTAAACCACAAGAAAACATATTGATTCCCAACAGAAGTCATAACTTGAAATGCACATGTTCTTTACAAACGACGCCAGATTGAATGTAGAAACATGCAAAGTGTTATCTGAGTAAATTATATGGCAAACAGAGGTAGATAACGACAGAAATGTGGGCAAATAACACTCGAAGCTAATTTGTGTCGCCTTTTTGCCCATGGGAAGATTTTTATACATCTGACATAAGCCATTAGATAGGCACTTCGATCACTGTACACAACTTCGACAGTGGCTTCAGCTAATTTACAAAGAATACAAAACGAGATTATTTCCCGTTAAAAGTCTACTTCATTCGAATAAAATTATTGTTAGAGATGTTTCAAAAACACAGCCAAGAGAAAACATTTGTTCTTTGGTTCAAAATTCATGAAGTGAGAAGTAATTTCGCACATTTGCTTCAATTTATTGCGTTCATTGTATTTTTTAATATGAAGCTCTCATTACCAAAACTTTTAGTTTAGTGACGAGTGATTTTTAAAAGAGGAAACACAAAATTAAAATTGCTTTTATAAGCACTGGTCATTTAGAGCTCGACATCAAGTTTAAAACGAGATTCGATGTAATTTTCGACTTGCAAAGGAAATTGTAAATCTCGACTTGCAATCTTCTTACGAGACGGAAGAAAATGTGTAGCTTCCGTTCTCACAAAAGCGTCGCAATCCTCTCGTTATCGACCTAACACGTTTACAAGTTTCTTCCCGAACATTCGTTAGCGAGAAATTAACAGAGGCTAAATTTAGCAGCGAGGAATTCAAACATGCCCAACAAACCAGAAGCTGTTTATATCTACTCAAGCCTACAATCGGCGGCAGCTTAGCATCTAAGGGATTCCGGCCATCGATTACTCGGGCACAAAACCCTATTTTAGTAATTTAACAGCTCGCGAGACCATCACGAGACTAGTTCTTAACAGTGCATTAGGAGAAATTAATCTACAAACACAAGAAGCTCGGTAAACATAAAGCATAAAAATGGACACACTTCAAAAGCGTTGTTCACACAGAACTTGCCATATTTCAGTAGGAAAACAAAACATACCGAACGTGACCACTCGGGGAGCGATGTCTAAACCTGTAGAATCTGCTTTGTGTTATTTTTCTCCTCTTTATCCTTTCCTGAAATCAAAACGAACGTTGCTCACACTAGAAACGTTGAGAAAAGTCATGAAACATGACTGCTATTATTAACGATAGCGGAGCTCTTGAAATTCAATCTCTTAGTTCAGCGACCTCGCGACATATGTCAATCACTCAATCATTACACAATGTGCAGTGAACGCGCCAATCTATTATTTTCCTTCCAGGTCTCAAAGACAATAGCTGTCGGACTCTAAATCGATTTGTTTGTATCTCGCGCAAAAAAAAAAAAATTACAATCCTTCAAAAAACGTTTAAAGCCGAATAATAAATTTTGCAAATCATGGCATGAAAACTAATTGTTGATAGAAACACAGAGAAATCGCGTTCGAAATATCCGCCGGAAGTTGAGATTTTCGACATGACTGCAATTAAATACGATAATGAAAAGGCTTTATTTAACCAAAAGAAAGAGCGTGTTTACGTTACCCTCGAACTTAAAGACTCACTTTTAAATAATGAAAAAAATCTGTCTCCTGGTTTTCTCTCTAATGCCACAAAATCTCCATGTTTACAAACTGTGTTTTCCGTGCAGGTGAATCGTCAATTTTGGGAGTGGCTCCGTCTCTGCGGATAAAAGTATTTCAACTGCGTCTCCGCCAAAATATTAAATACAAAGGAACTTAAGGAATGGATAGCGCCCCTGTTTCCTTAATTGAAACGCAAACTACAAGCGATATAGAATATTAAGTTTCAGAGAAGAAAGCATGTTTCTTTAGAATCAAATTTTCGTTAAGTCTATCAGGTGGCCTTATAAATCCACTTACTTTTAACGAGGTTCTTCAAAATTTATTAGATTTTCATGCCAACTTAAAGATACAAAACTCGCGGCTAAATTTCCTTTGAGCTGCTTAAACCAATTAACCGGCTGGCAATTAGATTATAAAAGTTGCCGAATTTCATGTAAATTGTACTTGTGTAATCGAGATTCAATTAGCAAGAAAAGATAGTAGGGGTAGAAGAAGCTCTCATTTTTCAGCGTTTCCCGCACCGATTGCATGAGAAAAGTTTGTAGATTTTAGGAAACTACATCTTTTCTCTCCTAGTAAAGAAACTTCTCGCCTAAAAATTCTGAAAATTAGAACTACTCAGAGTGGCATCACAAATCTATAAAGACGCGGTTTGAATTTTTGTGCCATCATCAAAAATATGAACCTGATTTATACATGCATTTCTTGTTCATATAGTTTTGCGTGTTTACAAGGAAATATAAAGAAAAAGGTTAAGAAACCTCGAGCAAAGGGCAGTTTGACGGTACTCAAAAACAGGAATGAAAAATGGTTTCTTAGCCGGAAAAAAAAGGGATGCCAAAAAAGCTAGACGGCATGTGACACGGTACGCGTTGCACAGCTGACAAGAACCATCAGAGACTTACTAGGCATATATGCTAAGCTTTTCTTTCGTTTCTGTGTTTGATTTGCTTTGTTTTGATTGTAACTCTCAGCTTTTGATATCACAATGAAAATTTAATCACCCAGTCTGGGCATATATATCTACTTAACAACCACGACTTACCAACATCCCGTTTGACGACTCTGTGGCACTGCATAAAAAATGACGATACCAATCTCGCCTTACTTTCCTTGCATCATGTTAGTAAAATAGTCACGCTCTGTAAAATTTTCTACTTTTTTAAATTTCTCCGAAGATATGCGGCGCCACCTCGTTTAGTTTTGATTTTTCCTACCGTTTGGGAGTGACTACTCATTACGAATGATAAAGAATGTAGACAACAGGTGATGTATTATAATCATGGGACACTTTAAATTCCACTCCTCTAGACTCCACCACCCACATACTGAGACTGTCAACAGATGCGGCTCGGATGAGAGGAGACTATTACCTACTTCCGGCATTTTTCCATCCCCAACATTTCCCAACATACTTTGCATGCTTTGTCGGAAGTGACGACTTTACAAAAAACAAAGATGTCGGCGACCTGGACTTCAAGTTGTTCTACGTGCACATGTTTCATAAGTCTCACCTAGGAACGATTCAGTAATGGCAGTAGAACAAACCTTTTCCTGTCTCCTATGTATTCTCTGCATATCTGCATATTTTTTGCCTATTTTTGGAGCACTTGAGTTTCACGGGTCCTCAAATACCCTCGAATATCGCAACGCCTCCATGGGACATCAAGTTACTGGAGTTGTCTCTCAGTACAGGGAACAAGTGTGGCTCTACTCCTGGATTAACAAGACTGAGGTGAATTTAGTTGATAATGCTTTGATAAATTTTACGGTACGACCTCCGCACAGCCTCATACTGTTATGAAACAGAGCTGCAGTTCCTCAGGAAATCTATCGCTTTTGCTTTGTTTTTTGTCCAAGAACAATAAAGTGTGAGGCAATGCGAAAAACTTACCCCACTTTAACCCGCAAGATCCAATATGTAATTCTCCTGACAGACTGCCCTACATTTCCTTTTAAATTAAACGGCATAATTTGGTTTTTTATGTGGAAAACACTTGGGTGATGCTTGAAAAAATGTGGATTGTTTTTGGTTTGTTTCAGATACTGATTTTCAGTAAACTCAGACAAGAGTGAACAGCTGAAATGACTTTGAAATTATTGTGTAGTTATGTTTTGGTCTAAATCCTTCTAAATTTAAGTGTTACAGCATGCTTGGTTTGTGAAGTGAATTGACAAGGTAAAAAATTTTGCATTTATGTTGATACTATGTACTGGATTTTTTTAGAACAAAGATATTAAATTTTGTATATAATCTGTGGTTCTATTCTTAAACCAAGTAAAACCATTGAAAACCTAATTGTCTCCCGAGCCCTATGCAGTGCGGGTAACGGTGGAAAGCCAATCATCCAATCAGGATTACCCCTTGCTTTTTGTTGCACGGTTGCAGAGAGGAGTGGTTTCCTGGCCAATACCGGTAGAAGGGTAAGAAAATACAAAGAATTTAGAATTTAGGTGAATCTGTGATTTAATGGGTAGGTAGCAAAAAAGAAAAGAGAGAATGAAGAGAGTAGAAAACTCAGTTGAAGTGAAATTAAATTCTTAAAGAATTATTTCTTGTTGCCTTTTGCAACTTTTTTAACTGAAACTTCAACTGTATGCCTTAATCTGAAAATTGCCACCCAATTTTTCTGATTCCTGTCCAAAGATAACAAACCTGGCTTAATGAGGTTATATGTGGAAAGAGGTTCATCTTAGGGATGGCCACTATCACATGGGGTATGTTTGGTAAGAAACCACACCTTGGACAAAAAAATGGTGTCCTTAACTGGAGCTGCAAGGAGAGTTGTTAGCAGTAGTTGAAAGATGAAACACGTCATCTTGCTTTAAGGTCAGCTTTAAACGTTAAAACCCCTGTGTGAGAGGGAAAGCTTACAATAATTGAATAATGAATGATATTTTGAGTTTTTTTCCCAAGTAGTACTAAGTGTGATTTCTTTTACAGGTTTAATTACAATCTTGTCAGTCGAACCCTATGCCCCTTCAGTCATGGCATCACACAATTAAATAGATCAGAATCAATCTCTATTGATGTATCAACATCATCACTAAAGCCAGTCAATTACTCACTGAAAGCAATGTTTGCTGACAAGTTTCAGTTATCGTGAGTATCATGAGCCAGGTAATCAGTTGTATTTATTAAGTCTCTTAATGAGAAACTAACTGCCTTAGAGATGCTTTAATTAACCAAATTTTGTCATTTTAAGCTTGCTTTGACTACTGGCTGCAGAGTTTAACTGAGAACTTTAAGATCACCTGCAGTGATGACCATTTCCTCACACAAAACCTCCAGAGCAGGGAAAAGCCACTTTTCCTTGGTGATATAATTTAGTTGTAATATTCTGCTTTAATTTGCTTCTAATGACAAGGACTATAACAATTGAAACACTTTTAATCAAAAAGAAAAAATGTGAGACTGTGTCCACTTGTATGAAGGTTGGTTAATTGAGACATTTGATTTTAAAATTGAAGATATTTAGGTTATAAGGGTTTTGATCAAATCAGGAAAGATGAGCTAAGAGTTGGTCAATCTTGTAAATTTTTCAATATTGAGTAAATAATGGTAAATTTATATTTTGTACTTTTTGTTTATTTTTTTACAAGACAAATAAGTTTTTTTTACATCAAAATCCAAGGCTGTGCTCTAAAAAAAATTAAAAGGAGCCCAGTGCTTTGAAACTGTGAAATCCAGGGTGCCCAGCATATACTTTTTATGAAAAAACTAAGATTCTTGAGTCACTTAATAGCAAAAGTAAGGCGCCAGGGGCCACCGGGCACTGCTAGACCACAGCCCTGAAATCAATAATTTTTTACAGGCTAGGTTCACCTTTAAGAGTTGTTGTGGACCCTGCCCAGCCGGTGGTAAGATAATTTATGTTTAAATGTAGATTTTTAGCCATCCAGTATCAATATTTATTGGTTTGTCAAAAATACGTGACAGTTCCTATTTTCACAAGCTTGCATATAGTATATTGTTAGTGGCTCTTGATTTTTTAAGTAATCACTTTATACTCATTTACCAATGTGTTGTGAGTGAAAAATTTGTAGCAAAGGGTTACTATAAGGCTACAAGAGATTGGAAACATTCTTCCACTGCCATGCAGAATTCTCCAGCTAAATTTTGCTATTCTGAGTTAATTTTTATGGAGAATAATTTTTCTTTCAGTTTTTTCCTTTTCTGCTCTCTCTGACTTGCATGGGCCAATTCTTTTTTTCTGCTTTTACTTTTGACAGTACTTCTTATGGAGATTCCCAAAAGATGTGGATACAGTTGTTATAAAAGCTGAATCCAATGATAGTACGCTGTGTGCCATTCTATCAGTCCAGGGAACTAAGGTTTGTCCTTTTTTGTCTTTTATGGTTGGAATCATAAGTTAATTGTGATAATAGTCCATTTTACAGTTGTGTGCTTGGTTGCCAAGCCTTTGAATGGGAGTGAGGCTAGGGTGACCTTGCTATGATACAAACCTCGCTGCCTTTCAAATGTAAATCACTCTGTTATCATGCGAACTAGATACAGGTCTCTATCATGACAAGGTCACCTTCAGCCTCACTCCAAATCGTAGGCTTGGCAACTAAGTACACAACTGTAAAATGGCCTATTGGAACATGAACTGATTTTAGTCTGTCAATGGTGAACTGACCAGTTATTGTAAAGCTCAGGACACTAGATCAAACATCAAAACTACCAACTACTGCACAGTTAGTAATTTTCACTGTTTGGTCATTTGTTTGTTTCCTCTTACCTGATTGAGTTTTTCCTTTAATCCATAAATCTTTGTTGTGTTCATATATTAAGGTCTGTAGTTAATAAATTCTTTGCATTAGAACAGCTCTCTATATACTGGCCTGCAGAAAACTTACATTTATTTATACATCGCTACAGACCTGTTTCGTAGTTGCCCACTCATCAGGGGATTTTGCCTACCACACATTATACCCGCTCTACTATTTGTATCAAGCACTGTTTCACAGACACCAAGTTTAATCCCTCTACAGTTATTTATACATAGATATGTTTAGTTAAAAAAATTGATCTTTTTTGTTGTACAATAATTATCAGTGTCCAGTATATGATTTGGCAAGAAATGTGGAATTCACAGGCCACTTTCAGACTATGACGACCAAAGCAGCAATCACACTAGAGGTAAATTATTATCACAATGGCTTTAAATGTTTTGAAACATCATACCTTGCTCTTTTTTGGTATTTGTCCTCTTTATTAAGATTTATGATTGTAAATATTTCTGTATTGGTTCAAATCTTACTCTAAATTTAAGAAAAAGTAACAAAGGTCTTAGCTAAAGAACAATTCATTATCATCTCTACCTTGAATATAAACAAGGTAAACAAAAAATAGCTTTTCTTGATCAATAACTGCCTATACTTTTTAGAAAAGGGCCTCATGTAATGGTTTCGGGATGGACTATATGGAACTTTGTGGCTTAGATGCATTCTTATGGAGATTGACTGGAAAATCCTCACTTTTATACTCATGTCTTTTATTTCGTTTTGTCATTAGCGTAATCAGACCCAATATTATGTTGTACTAATAGTCAAGTCATCTGATGAAGAATGTGTCTCTGGGGAAAGGTTTGCTGAACCACGCACAGGAGAACTTGTGTCAAGAGATCGTCATTATGCCGGTAATGTAATGAATGTATACCTCAGGTGATAAAATTGTACCCATGTAGACAATCTATTGTTTAATTATAGTGTTATTTGTAAAATGGACCATCAGTACATATGCAAGGTTTTTAATACAGTAATTCATAGAAAGCCCTCTTAATTGTTGCCTTTCTTAAACTATCAATGAGAGAAAAGTTAGCTTCCTCCAAAAAGAATGTATTTATTTATAATAACTTATTGAATTAGAAAGACATTAAGGTGAACATCTCAATGAAATTTCAGGTCTCTTATCATCAAGACAGAAGAATGTCACAATAACTGTAGAGCGCACTTTGTCTGGTAAGTCCACCCCTCTTAACTCTCTCTTTGTTAAATTCATAATTCAGAGAATTTTGTGATAATGAATGACCAATCTTCTCTTTGTCCACAGAAAAGAATTATGTGAAGGCCATAATGGCTCCAGTATTGTTCTTTGGGTCATTCTACATTGTTACTTTTGCTGTTCTTCTGGGTACCTGGTGTAGGTTAGTACCTTTGTGTTGAATTGTAAATAACTACTTAGAATATATCCTTCAGACAATGACAGGTCCCCACTGTCTATTAAGCTTAATTGGGCTACTCATCACGACTTCAAGTATTTTTTAAATAAGATTTTGGGCCAATTTTTCCCATTGAATATAATTATTTTGTGAAGGAAGACGCCTCCAGCTACAAATACATTAAAATCAAGAGAAACTGAAAGTGAACCACAAAATATGTTTGTATGTAACGTGGATTGATCTAGTCAAACACCACAAAAACCAAATGAATGCAGTCAAGGACTTCATAGAATAGGTCACCGATTAACAGTACAGTGCAGATTCTGACATTTTTGTTATTGGAATGTATTGTCAGACAAAAAGGAGGAAAGGAGAGGAGTTTCCGTTCCATTTTGATGCCAAAAAGAAGTGATAATCAAGGTATGTAGGTCTTGTATAACAAGGTACAATGTAGTGTAATTGTCTTCTTCAGTGTCAGCAACATATCATTTGTTGTGACACTATATTTTACCAGCAGCAATTTAATTTTAATTAGTGAACATCTTTTTACTGAAAAGCTTAAGACTTTGTGATCATTATATAGAAGCATCACATCAATATACAATGCCTGGCAGGATGCAGCATATTTGTTGCATTCATTTATTTTTATGTCACTGAGCCACCACAAGTTTTCCATAGCTCAGAACTTCCTTCAAGTCACAGATGTAGACTTGCATTGGGAGAAAATGGATTTTTTTTTCCTCCAAGTATGCCAGTATCACTAACAGGAACACATCAATTCATCCTTACATTTCTATGATTATCGTTAGTTGAAAAGTTCATTGTTAAGCTACAGGTCCCTCCCCTCCCTCCCCTCTCTCCCC